CGTCTGCGTTCCGTGTCTGGGGATCTCGGGCGTTTGTCCGCGACTTGTCTGCGGACAAGCTGTCCCCTCGTGCTGCTCCCTGCGTCTTCCTTGGCTTCCCCCCTGACGCGCCAGGGTGGCAGTTCTACCACCCCACCTCTCGCCGTGTTCTGTCCTCCCATGACGTCACGTTTGAGGAGTCGGTCCCCTACTACCGTCTCTTCCCCTACCGCACTCCGTCCCTCCCCCAGCCGCCGCTCTTCCTTGTGCCAGGTCCCCCCCCGGTAGACCCCCTTCCCCCTCAGGGTTCTGCCCCTTCAGGTGTGTCCCAGGTAGACGCAGTCGAGCCTGTGGAGGTCGCTGGTGACTCTGGTGTTGCTGGGGATGCTGATCCTGGGGGTGCTGACTCTGGGGGTGCTGAGCGTGTGGGTGCTACGCCTGGGGGTGCTGAGCCTGGGGGTGCTGAGCCTGAGGGTGCTACGACTGGGGGTGCTGAGCCTGGGGGTGCTGAGTCTTGGGGTGCTGAGCCTGGGGGTGCTACGACTGGGGGTGCTGAGCCTGGGGGTGCTACGCCTGGAGGTGCTGAGCCTGGGGGTGCGGAGCCTGAGGGAGCTGGGCCTGCTCGTGTGGCGTCTGGCGGTGCTGGGCCTGGAGGTTCTCTGGGTGCTCCGTCTCGACGGGAGCCACTCTCTCCACAGGAGGTGCGTGAGTGGTTTGCCCGGCGTTGGAGGCGAGCTGCTGGAGCTGGAGGTTCTTCGGCTGCTGAGGGTGCTGGTGCCACGGATCCCGGAGGTGCTCGTACTGGGAGTACTGGAGCTGCTGGGCCTGCGGGTACTACTGGAGCTGGAGCCACTGCGTCTTCTCGTGGTCCCACTGGAGCTGGAGCTGCTGAGGGTGTTGGCGCTGAGGGTACTGCTGGCGGTACTGGAGGCGGTCCTGCTGGGGGTGCTACTGGTGCTGCAGGAGGTCCTGGAGCTACTGGAGCTGCTGGGGGTACTGGAGCTGGAGGTGCTGCTGGTGCTGGTGCTACCACTGGGGGTACTAGTGCTGTCCCTGCTGTGTCTGGAGTCGCTGCGCGGCCTCGGCCGTACTTCGTTCCGCTTCTTGAGCAGGTTCTTGGTCTCCCGCCTTCTACTGGTCCTCCTCCTCCCTTAGAGTGTCCACAGCCTGTCCCGTCACAGTTACAGTTACAGCCGGCCTCCCCACTGCCTGCTCCTTCTCCCTACACTGGTCCTACTGGAGGTCTTGCTGAGCGTCGTGAGCCTGCGTCTCGTCCTGCGTCGCCTGTCCGTGCTGCTCGCGCTAGTGGTCGTGGTTCGCGTCAGCGTCCTCCCCCTGTGCCCGGCATGCACCGGAAGTCTCTCCGTCCGTCCACTGCTCCTCTGCGTGCCCCTTTGCCTTCTCCTCCTGAGTCCTCTCTTCCTGCTCTTGCTGACCCGGAGTCGGACTCCCTTCGTGCTGCCAGTCCGACTGTCACGCGTCTCCTTGCTACTGTTGTCACTGACCCTTCCTTTGAGTCCACTGCTGCGTCTGCCCTAGTTGCTGAGCTCGTCGACTTTGCTGCTCGCTGTCGTCTAGACTACGCTGCTAGTCTTGTTGCTGCGTCTGAGTCTGTCTGTCCTCCGTCCGTCGGGGGTGAGTGTGCCCTTGGCACGGACGTCCTTGAGGACAGACAGGAGGAGTTCCAGTGTTTGGCTGCTGCTTCACCTCATCTCGTGTCCGTACTGCTTACCCCTGAGGGAGACCCGGATGCACTTGACATCCCGACTCCGCGCTCTTACGCGGAGGCGATAGAGGGTCCCTACTCCTCTCAGTGGCAGGCAGCTATGGACGCAGAGATGGCTTCCTGGAAGTCCACAGGCACCTACGTTGACGAGGTTCCCCCGCCTAGGGCGAACATCGTCAGTGGCATGTGGATTTTCAGGGTGAAGCGGCCGCCGGGTTCTCCGCCTGTCTTCAAGGCGCGTTACGTGGCTCGTGGCTTCAGTCAGCGGCAGGGAGTTGACTACTTTCAGACCTTCTCTCCCACCCCGAAGATGACCACTCTTCGGGTACTGCTGCACATAGCTGCTCACCGTGACTACGAGCTACACTCTCTTGACTTCAGCACTGTTTTCTTGTAGGGCAGCCTGCACGAGGAGATCTGGCTGCGCCGCCCACTTGGCTTCACTGGGACTTTTCCTCCTGGCACCCAGTGGAGCCTCCGGCGGCCAGTCTACGGTCTCCGCCAGGCACCGCGTGAGTGGCACGACACACTGAGGACTACGCTTGCGGCTCTTGGGTTTGCTCCCTCTACTGCCGACCCGTCGCTGTTTCTGCGCACCGACACTTCTTTGCCTCCGTTCTACATCCTCGTGTACGTCGACGACTTGGTCTTTGCCACAGGTGACACTGCTGGACTCGCCCACGTGAAGTCCGAGCTGCAGAAGAGACACACGTGCACAGACCTGGGTGAACTGCGCAGCTACTTTGGCTTGCAGATCACCCGGGACAGAGCACGCCGCACCATTACCCTGACTCAGTCACACATGGTGCAGCAGGTCCTTCAGCGCTTCGGCTTCACGTACTCCTCGCCTCAGGCCACTCCTCTGCCTACTCGCCACTCGCTCTCAGCTCTGCCTTCGGATGAGTCCGTAGAGTCGAGTGGCCCGTACCCAGAGCTTGTTGGCTGCCTCATGTACCTGATGACCTGCACTCGACCTGACCTTGCATACCCTCTTAGCATTCTCGCACGCTATGTTGCTCCTGGGAGACACAGACCGGAGCACATGGCTGCAGCGAAGAGGGTGTTGCGCTACTTGTGCAGTACGTCGGGCATGGGGCTTGTGCTTGGAGGGCAGGGTCCAGTGGTCCTCACTGGGCACGCAGACGCTTCTTGGGCTGACGACCAGGCTACGCAGCGGTCGTCACAGGGTTACACCTTCAGCCTTGGTTCCGGCTCTGTCTCGTGGCGGGCTACCCGCTCGTCTTCTGTTCTCGGCTCCAGTTGTGAGGCTGAGATCTACGCAGGGGCCATGGCTGCACAGGAGCTTCGCTGGCTCACCTACCTGCTGACTGACCTCGCAGAGCCGCCTCGTTCTCCTCCAGTGCTGTACGTAGACAAGAAGGCCATGCTGGCCTTGTGTTGGGAGCAGAGACTGGAGCACAGAACGAAGCACATTGCTCTTCGCTACTTCCTTGCTCGTGAGCTACAGCAGCGTGGTCAGCTACGCCTTGCGTACGTGGCCTCTCAGGCCAACACTGCTGATATCTTCACCAAGGCACTTGCGCCTTGTGATCATCAGCGCTTCTGTACTCAGCTGGGTCTTGTGCCTACCTTGCCTCACTTGCTCACCCCTTGACCTTGTTTGTACTATTACATATATATATACACCTGCTCTTGCTTGTTTAGCCTTATATATATATGTAATCCTGCATGTGAACTGGCCTTGTGGCCTTGAACTTGTGCTCGGAATGTGTGGTGACGTTGTGATCCACCCTGAGCTTGCTTTGCTTTGCTTGACTGGTCTTGTGACCCCTTGTTCTCCCCCACTTTGCCTATGGGGGTGTGTCAGATTTATATGACTTAGCTGCTGTAGGCTATAGTGGGGTAGCACATATGGGGTACAGCTTTCTAGGGTTTGTACTTGTACCCAACTTTCCCTTAGTCTTTTCATTCCTCGTTCATTTTCACACCGGGATGTCGTCTAGTACATCTTCAACCTTCGAGCACTTATTTTTTACTACAACACGAGCTTCATTAAAAAAAAAAGTTTCAAATTTCAGGGTTCCTGAAGAAAATAGGCTAATTTTTACGCACAAGTTATCTTTGAATATGAAAACAATCCATATGAAATATGACAGCCCAGGGGTCCTTATCCTTCGGCGTCGATTTCACAAACAACTGAGACAGTTCACGCTGGCAAATAGTTAAGTTCTGACATAATATATAGCACTTCTACTGTGTGCATGTATATTATTAAATCATTTCAGAAAGCGGAGCCCCTCATCCAGCGTTTCCATCTTGAAGGGTCAAGTTCTCGTCGTTCCGCTCTTGACTGCCACCCGGCGTATATTTATTGGCTGAACGTCCACGGACAAAATGCGGCGCGGCTTGATTTCTGCGAGCCGCTCCCACCCGCCATCCTCTTCTCCCGCCTTCGTTGTGTGGTCCCTACGACATGTTGGAGAGTTTTGCTCAATTCCGCGGAATCGCGGTTCGTTTTATTTTCGCCACGTCGCATGCCTTCGATCGTGGGAACCGCGATCTGATTTATTGTTCCCACAATTTTTAAAAGAAAATATAGTTAGGCTTAGTGAGTCACATGTACTGCCCTGCCCGCGGACAAAAATAAAACCCCTAAAGGAAAAACATGCGTTAGGGATGCATCAACCCTAAACACATAGACGCAAGGTGTTTAGGGTTGATGCCTCTCTAACGCATGCCATGCCCGAATGGGTTTTATTTTTGCCCGCGGGCAGCGCGGTACATAACTTAACTAAGTTTATCTTGAACTTTGTGGGAACAATAAAACAGATCGCGGTTCGCGCGATCGAAGGCTTGCCACGTGGCGAAAATAAAACGAACCGCGCTTCCGCGGAATTGAGCAAAATTCTCGACATGTTGCTTCCCTTCCTCGCTTCGCCCCTCGGACAGTTTCTGTCGCCACTCTTGGTGGGATGTTCGCACGAGACGTTGTTATGCATGATTCCAAGCTCGAATTTCTTTACGTAACGTACATGTAAAGAAAGCCCTCACCTCACCCAACACCTTTCGTTCCCTCTTCTCTGATCTTCAAGATCTTCCGGCCCTTCCCGACAGCGCTTCGGTTCTTCCGGACCTTCCATTTCCGTATGGTCACGACTGACCAGACCATGCACCCAGCCCACCCAGACTATCATCAGCGAATTTCGCCCGAGCATGTCACGCATATATAATCGTGTGAATCATCTCGTAATTCCACCAGCCTCTCAATTGTTGCGTAGACTTCCCAGAACTAGCTTGTGACCTTTCCTAGCTTGATTCTTGAGTCTTCGCGAATATGGCTCGAGCTTGTGAGCTCGCGCTGCTTGCCGCCGTCGCCGTCCTCCTCGCGAGCACAGCGACGGCCTTCACGACGCCATCGTGCATCAAAGAGGCGCAGCAGCTGGTGAAAGTGCTGGACGCGAAGCCTCAATTCTACAGCGACATTTCGACCGAGCTCAAGAAGCTCATCAAGGCTGTTAGTAAGTACGAGTACCCACATCAGCGCTGCATGTCAACGCTGAAATTCGACTCACATTGCCCACGCTGACACCCGCCGTCGGCCTTTTCTTCGCAGAGAAGGGTTACGATGTCGGAGAATTCTACGACAGCACGCTTCTGCTGCCAACCAATCAGGCTCTCAAGGCGGCGAAAATCAACCCAACCAGGATTAAAAACAACGAGAAGCTATACCGAATTCACATTTTTGACGGCCAACTCGACAGCATGGCCGTCGGGGACGTGCAGATGACCACGCAGCCCGGCGTGAGCGTGAAGGTTTTCAAGGCGCGCCCGAGCGCATCGCCCATGAAGATGGCGGTCCGCCTTGTCAAGTCGAAGAAGCCGCCGGTTCCGGTGCTGGCGCATCTGCACACGGGCACGGGGAACTGCTTCGAGGCGTACGGCATCGGCGGCGTGCTGTCCTAGAAGTTGTCGCGGCGCGGCACAACAGATTTGAGCGCAGCTCCGTCGTGTCGTTTGCAACCGTCACGGTTTTTTTTTTTTAATTGTCCTTGGCATTCCCAGTTGTTGGGAAGTTTGGAACGCACGACTTCCCCAGTGCATGTGAGCAATGCAATAATGCATGGATTCTGATGAGTGCATGGTTCGTAATGCGCTTGTGGCCCCAAAACGCAAACAGCACTGGAGAAATGGGCAAAAACGACGGCACAACAAGCCTCTGCTCTAGACAAGAAACTAGTTATTTTGATTGCACTCTGTAAACGGGAATAACCAATAGGACATGGTCTGTTCTAACATGGTCAGAGGGCATGGATTGATCTCACATGGTCTGAGGACATGGATTGATCTCACATGGTCTGACGACATGGATTGATCTCACATGGACTGAGGAGATGGATTGATCTCACATGGTCTGAGGACATGGATTGATCTCACATGGTCTGAGCAGATGGATTGATCTCACATGGTCTGAGGACATGACCTGTTCTCACATAGTCAGAGCAATGTAATGAAATTGGATGAAACAGTCACATCACATGCTAGGCAACACTTGTTCGGTAGGTGCCACTGTTGAACCGGATGGAGCACTGAGTGTTGTACAGCATGGCATGGCATGCTGTTGTTGAGCATAGGCTAGTCAGTGGTACTTCTGTGTGTGGCAGCGTGAGATGAAGGACGGAATGGCACGCTTCCTGCGCCTCGGGGTTCCAACACCAGCCTCACTGACACTTACATGCCCGCTCATACGCCTCCCACTCTCCTCCCCATCACTCGCCACTGCCACAACCGCCCGATCCACTATCGCCCCTCCACCCACACCACTGCCACTCACTCCTGCTCTGCCATTCGCGCTCGCGACCCCACCATCTCCCCTCATCGAACCATCCTCCTCCTCCTCCTCCTCCTCCTCCTCCTCCTCCTCCTCCTCCTCCTCCTCCTCCTCCTCCTCCTCCTCCTCCTCCTCCTCCTCCTCCTCCTCCTCCTCCTCCTCCTCCTCCTCCTCCTCCTCCTCCTCCTCCTCCTCCTCCTCCTCCTCCTCCTCCTCCTCCTCCTCCTCCTCCTCCTCGTCCTCATCGCTGCTGTCGCTGTCGCCATCGTCCCACTCCTCCTCCAGCTGCTGCTTCTCAAACGAGTGGGGCAGCAGGTCCTTGCGCGTCAACACACCCACCACCTGCATGCGCTCGCGCACCACGCACAGGTGGCGCAGCCACATTCGCCGGAAAATGGCGTACGCCTTGCGCAGGCTCATGGCCTCGCCCACCACGTGGGGAGAGGTGTTGCAGAAGAGGTGCAGGTCCAGAAACATGTCCTGCTCCTCTGCACTCAGATCGATATCCTCGATACAAGGAGTCTTCTTAACGTTCACTATCGCAGTCGCCGTGCGGTGCTTGTGGGACAGAGATTTTGCCAGTCTCCGCCCTTCCACATGGCCACCTTCAGCTGTGCCCCGTGGCGTCTCCCCATTGGCCCTCAAACCGCACGGTACGCTGGGTAGCAGGTCTGGGTTCCAGCACAGCAGCAGCTGCAGCGGCAGCTGCAGTGTTGGTAGAAAGAAGAAGCTTGTGAAGGGAATTGGTGCGAGGTGTGCAGAGAGTGCTGCGCTGGAAGGCGGACTTATTCCCCAGCAGCTTGAGCAGCTTCGAGCGCAGCACCATGCCGTACAGCACCGCGTGCACCTCCCCCTCCCCCTCCCCCTCACCTCCCCCCTCCTTCTCCTTCTCTCCCAGCTTTCCCCCCTCCCCCCCACCCACAATCTGCACGACAGGGAAGGCAGAGTGGGTGGTGGTCTGCAGGACTCTCAGCACCTCCCCCACGCGCTCCACACTCTTCAGAGCTACAGCCGGGCCCCTCACTCCGTCTGTAGCTGTTAAGTTCTTCATGAACTCGAGCGGAGGGTATTCCAGCATCGGTAGACGTTTTAAGTGGCTCGCCTCGTCAACCACCCCTTCGTTGAAACAGTCCCCCACCTCCTTGGCGATGGTTGTTGCGAGCATGATCAGCGGCAGGAGGAGAAATCCTGGTAACTTCCAGCAGCATGACGGAGAGGGAGACAGACATGCGCATGGAGCCGCCCAATAGGGACGCGGTACCGAGCAGCGCGTACCTCCCCTCGTCCAATCCCGTGTAAGAATTGGATTCTCCGAACCAGAGCAACCTGGCCGACCAAAGGGGAGAGGTGAGGGAGGGGGAGGTGGAGGAGGTGAGTGAGCGCATGAGCTTGCCCATCATGCGGCCGTACGTGCTGCCTGCCACTATGAGTGGGACGAAAAGGCCGGCCGCACGGAGCAGCCATTAGTGATGATGGCGAGCGAGAAGAAGACGAGGAAGAAGATCTCCAGCATGGCGTGGCTGCGGTGGGGAGGGGTTGGGAGGAAAGTGGGGAGTGGGGGTGCAGTGAGAAGGGAAAAAAGAGAAGGAAGAAGAAGGCCAGTGCGTGTGGCTGTGATTGTAAGGGTGCGGAAAGAAGATGAGGAACGACCAAGCTGTGGATGAACAGCTCAACAGAGGCACAAAGGACAAGGAGCGGGGGAAGCACTGGCTTGCGCCAGAGTGGTGGATAGAAAGTGTGGAGTGGCGAATACGATGGGGAAAGAGGGTGATGTGATAGGAAAAGAATCTGAAGTACAAGGCAGCTGGTGGAATGAAAGCATGAACAGCGAGTGGCGAGTGTGAGTGCAGCGGGAACTCAATAGGCTAGCTGGAAATGAGGTTGGTGCTAGCGTTGTCATGGTGGTGGTCTGGCCGGGTGCCACCCTGCCACTTCTGAGAATTCTCACAAGTGTAACACACAGATAAAATGCAAAAACTCACGTATACTGGGCAGGCGAGCTGGAGAAGAGGTTGTCGTTGGTGATGTTACACTACACATTGTAATGTAACTATCTTCAACATCTTGAAGTGTACCCTTGTGGCGAGCTTCGAAATCACTTGAGGCTTGACACCAAGGCTTGGGTTCTTCATCACAAACTCGTCCTTGAGTTCTTGATGGGTCTGATGCCCACACCTGTGACACGCTGAATGTACCACACACACGACAAAATAGAAACCGCGCGACACACACAAACGACAAGATAAAAACCGCGCGAGACACACAAACGACAACGTAGACACGCGACTAGCGATGACTCGCTATTGACTCGACACACACTCACATTCAACATCAAGACTCATCATTCACACACTATTATAAGCATGAATTTTATATTATCTCATGCCTCTCATACCATTCCATACACACACGCATGCACGCACACGGACAACAAGCCGAGTGCAAACCATAGGGTTGCACTAACAAACTCACCCTCGGGTTGTTGGCCGTAGGATCTGTTGCTCTCAGTTCAAAGCCATCCCAGCCAGCTTGCAACACTACCAATGCTGCTGCTCCACTAGCCTCTGGTCATCATATCAGCTGGCTGCCCCGTCGTCTTCACATAGTGCAACTCAACCTCACCCGCGGCTACCATGCTCCTCGTCTAATGCCACTTCACCCTCATGTGTTTGGTGAGGCCGTGCAACACAGGGTTCTTAGCAAGAGCAATGACACCCTGGCTGTCACAGTAGAGTGGGGTAGGTCCCTGCTGCTCCTCCCCCAATTCAACCAACAAACGCCGCTGCCACACAATCTCCCGTACGGCACAGAAGAGTGCCATGTACTCGGACTCCACCGAGCTCAATGCTTGATCAGCCTGCTTCTTGCTCTCCCAAGCAGTTGGGCCTCCACCAACACAGCAGTTGAAGCCTCCCACACTTGTCATGTCCTCTGGTTCTGATGCATAAGAGGCATCGGAGAATGCGGTGAGGAACAAACGCCCAGGTTCAACACCATCCGCGCCCTTTTGGCGCCTTTGCGCCGCCGCCGAGTATTGCAGCCCAACGGTCGGTGTTTGGCCAAGGTGCTTGGCCACCCTCATTCCAGCTGCTACCTGCTCCTCATTAGGGCATTGAACAACCCTAGCCAACTGCCCGGTAGCGAAGGCAACGTCCGGTCGGGTGTTTACCGCCGCATACATGAGGCTGCCCACCAACGAGTGAAAACGGCGCCTCTCCTCTTCACCAACGCTCTCCTCCTCTGGTCCTTTCACACACTTGAACCCAGAGGGAAAGGGAGTAGCCACATGGCCTTCATTCTGCCCAAAGTTGGCACCCAAGGCCTCCAGGTATTTGCGTTGGTGCACCCGCATGCACCGCTTCTCTACGTCACGCTCGATGTGGAGCCCAAGGTAGAAGTTGACATCACCAAGGGACTTGCACTTGAACTTGTCTTGAAGTTTCATCATCACCTCCTTCACAAGGTCGGAGGAGGGTGAGAAGATGAGGATGTCATCCACGTACACCACCATGAAGCTCCTCTGCTCCCCCTCGCCAAGCATGAACAAAGAGTGATCGGCCGTTGAGGGAGTGAAGCCGATCTCCTCCAACACTTCGCGCTGCTTCATGTACCATTGCGTAGGGGCCTGCTTCAGCCCATAGAGGGCCTTCTTCACCTTCCACACTTTGCCACTACCATCATCAAACCACTCTGGCTGCGCCATGAAGATCTCTTCCTCTAGAACGCTGTTGAGGAATGCCGTTACAATGTCCATCTGCTTCACCACCCATCCTTTGATGGCGGCTCCCGCGAGTAGGGTCCGCAGTGTCGTTGGCTTCACCACAGGAGCAAACAGCTCCTTGAAATACACCTTCTCCTTCTGCTGGTACCCCTTAGCCACAAGCCTAGACTTGTAGCATTCGATCATGCCGTCGGCGTCCGACTTGATCTTGAAGAGCCACTTGGACGAAATCGCCTTACGCCCCTCCGGTAGCTCCACCAATTCCCACGTGTCATTCTCCTCAATACTCTTCAGCTCACTCTCCACTCCTCAGCATCACTGCTCTCCAAGGCCTCCTTGAGAGTTGCTTGTTCTCCCGGCATCTCCACCGGGGAGAAGAACACGAACACACATTCCTCGTAGTAACACTCCTCGTCGTCTCCGATCATCATTGCCGCTCCGGCCAGGGCTGACTTGCCCTGCTTTCCCGGTGCATCATAGGTCACCCTATTTGGGGCTTGAACTCTCCTCTTGCCCCGGTTCCTTCCTCCTCAGCTGCAGGGACTTGAAGGCCTTGGCGTTGCTGCGGTGTGGCTCGGATCCGTGGAGCACTCGTAGTGCGAAAAGGAAGTGTCGGTGCACGCTCGCTCACTTGCTGCACCTCCTCCTCTTCTTCCTCTGCATCCTTTGCCTCCTCTCCCCCATTCACAAGGGAAGATTGCCTTCTCGTAGTGCTGCCGCTGCTCAGCTCCAAAGGCAGCTCCACTTGCTCCAGGCCGGAACTCTTCACCTCCCCAAACCGCATGCCTATCTTTGCCTCGTTCTCCACCTTCCAATCCTTGTACATCAGGTTCTCCATGAACTTGCAATCCCTGCTCACCATGAACTTCTTGGTGAATGGGTCCCAAAGAAGCCACCCCTTGCTGTTTTGAGCCATGCCCAAGTGCACAACCTATATCGCCTTGGCACCAAGCTTGTTGTGCCGAAGATGCTTAGGTACGAGCGCCATGCACATGCACCCGAACACCCGAAGCATATCCACCTTTGGCTTCTTTCCAATCCACTCCACATAGGGCACCCATTTGTCTGCTCCCACATGAGTCAAGGCTCTGTTCTTGGCCACACACGCGCTCCGCACCGCATCAGGCCAGAAGTAATCGGGTAACCGGGCTTCAATCAGCAACCCGCGTGTCGTCTCCATGATCGTGCGGTTCGCTCGCTCGGCGATGCCGTTCATTGCAGGGGAGTATGGCATGGTGAGGGAGTGCCTTATCCCATTCTTCTTCAGCCACAATCCGAACTCCTTGCTCAGGATCTCTCCACTTCGATCGGTGCGGATTGACTTTACTAGCCGGAGTTGTTGTCGCTCTACCATTGGTAGCCAATCGGTCTTCACCGTTTCAGCCACGTCGCTCTTCTTGAACAGCACGAACACCCAAGTCATGCGGGTTTAGACATCCACTATGGTGAGGAAATACTCTGCTCCAGCAGCTCCAAGCTTCAGGGGGCCCACCACGTCCATCACCACCTCATAAAGTGGTGCCTTTGCCGTTGCCTCCGAACTAGGGAACGGAAACCGGGTGAACTTGGCTTGCACGTCGGGCAGCCAAGCAACTCATCGGGCTCCCCCTTCACACGTATGCCAACAACCATCTCATTCTTCACTAGCTATTGCAAGATAGGCAGGGCCACATGCCCCATTTGCCGATGCAAGGTGAGCCAATCACACTCCCCCGTAGCCGAAGTCGGATTGGAGAATGCCGCGCTCGCAATAGCGCCCCACATGCTCTCTCCGTACTCCTCGTCCGCTGCTGCCTCGGGGTTCTCCTCACCCTTTTTCTGCTCCTTGGCTGCTGCACCACTATCCTTAGGTTCACACTGCTTGCTGGTCCCTCCAAGATTCCACTTGTTGGACTCATTCTCCTTAACGCGACCGTTCGCGCCAACGCTGCTACCAGCCGCTTCACCCTTGGTGTTGACGCTTGCTGCCACTTGCCTCTCCTTAGGCATGGGGACCACAGGGATCTGCCACATCTCGTCGTAGAAGTCCCTATCCTCGTGAAGGTCCCAAAGGATCCGCTCGCCAAGCCTCGCGGTGTAGGTTTTGCCTCCCTTCGAGTTCGTGTCCATGCCGGCCTTTGCCAACTGCCGCACGGAAATCAGGTTCGCAGCAACGCTAGGCACCCAAAGCACGTTCTTGAGGCCCACCATCTTCCCATCAGCTCCCTTGAACATGGCCTTGCCCATGCCTTTCACCTTTGCTCGCTGCCCCAAAGCCGATGTGACATGCTTCACCGGTGACGGTTCAAGTTCGGTGAGCAAGTCCGCGCGAGGTGTCATGGTATAGGTAGCGCCGCTATCGATCACCCAATAGTCCAGGGGGTGTAGGGTGACCTTTCCCATAGCTGCAGGTTCTTCAAAGTCTTCATCCTTCTCTGGTGCACCCTCCGAAGAAGAACACGTAGCCGCCCGTTCTCGCCCAGTTCCGCTTGTCGCCAGCGTCGTCGGTGTCCACGTAGCCAACCAGGACAGTACAAGCTTTCTATAGGCAAAACCTAACAGTACTGTACCCCATAAGGAGTGCCCCACTACAGCCTACAATATAGTTCTGACACACCCCCATAGGCAAAGTGGGGGACAAGCAAAAGAACAAAGCAAAGGTCAAGCTCAGGGTGGATCACGCATTCTGAGCACAAGCAA